GTTTCACCGTAAACTAGCAAAATTACAAAGTTCAGAAAGCATACGACCCACCGGTGGGTCGTATTGTCCGAGATGGCAGAACACGTACGACCCACCGGTGGGTAGTATTGTCGTGAATGTGTCAATATTCTTGATAACTTTGAAACTGTGCATAGCTTGTCGGCGTTCATCATAAGTAGTGTCAGTAAAAGATGCACTACTCTATGTTATAGAACATTACTGTTTTCAAATCAGATAAACTTCGCATGGGGTCACTTAAGATGCTTATGTTTTTTCCACTTCTGTCTTCTGTACTTAGGGTTATTTCACACCAACGCACTGAGCGCAATGACAGCAGCTGCCACAGCTCAGGAATACAGCAATGATTATCTGCTGTTGCGAAATCAGTTTTTTTTTTTCGAAATTCAAATTGACTAATACTTGTACATGAGTTACAAATATTTCTGAGGGGAACCAAGTTTAGACTAAATGAAGTGGCGCAAGCGGTTTTGACTCCCATTTACAATATATTACGTTGTCCGAAAAATAATGTCGCATTGCATCCTACCACGACAGAGCGATTACGAAAGAGATCAAATAAGGAGTCATTTGATAGAGCAAAGCAAGCTCTACAAGATGAAGTAAAAATCTTCGCGGAAACTTTGCTCCACCAGAAGTTCATATCAAAAATATAAAAAGTTCCACATACTCAAAAAATCGTACCTCCATCCATAAATGTCTTAGGGATCTCCAGTTTGCACAAACATGTACCTTTTACAACAGACATTCACGTGTGCAGTTTGAGAAATTTACCCACGGCTAGAACACGAGATCTAAAGTAGGCCAAAAGTGTATGTCGCGTTTTTGGATTTTTGCGAAAATTTTGATTTTTCTTGGAAACCAAACATTGTAGAGAGCTGAAAATTTATGATCATACTTAAAAACGTTTATACTACGGAATCAGCTATCTGGGAGAAGCTTAAAATTGCTTTGACAAAACACCGTGCCAAATTTCGTTTTCTCGATTTCTAAACATGGACAAACCACGAAACTGTGCATACAAGTGTCTGATGTAGCGAGAGTATACATGTGCAAGTTGGAGGTACCTATCTGAAAAAAGAGACGACTTTTCAAACTTTTCAGGCCTTTAGTGCCTTTTGAAATCTGGCTATAAATTTTACACAAATCAAACTTGGCGCAAATATTTGAACTTCATTTTGTAGCGCTTGGCTTGGTCTATCGGCTGATATCCCATTTAGTTTTTTTTCGTGCTCATCCCTCCACCATGTTGCATGATAAAACACGATGCGACATTATTTTCCGGACAGCCTAATACATGATACACAGCTTTTGACGTATCTTCTGAGAGGAAATGTAAGAAGATGTGAAATGTTTGCGGACTAATTGACGCATGAACCTATGGACAACCAAAAATTGCGTGGAGCATGTGTTGATGGTTTATGTATCATCAACCTCAACGATTCTATAATCCTGACAACTTACGATTATTCCCTATGGACTATATTCCCCAACCGCTTATATTCAAGTGCCGAATCACTCACCAATAAGTGGCACCTATCTTCCAGGGGCCGCGCCAAGCCGCGGCATCATCTTTCTTGTATATAATTCTTGGACAGCTTGATTGTGCACGGGTCAGCTCTGCCTTACTACCTATATAAGGTGCCCCCGACTGTATTAAGGGCCGGTCATACCGGTTAGCGATCCATCGCGTCGCTGACTTTCCCAAAGGACAAGTGTTACAAGGCCGGAGATAACTGCGTATCTGTGCTGGCTGTCCGGCGCGATGCATCGCGGGCCGTTTTCTACCCGGCCATACCGATTTGAGCGAAATCGCCGCGATCGTCGCTCATCCTAGCGAATTCGCGTCGCTCATTTCAAATGCGCGACGCGATGAATCGCTAGGATTGGGATCTCTTTCCAGGAAAGTTTTATGATTGTTCTTTACTTTCTTAAGCTGGTCTCGTGTCTGGGGATTGGAAATCATTTTAGTTTTGTCAAAGTGCATTAATTTCCGTGAAATGAAACCTTTTGATTTATCAGCAATTGTCACTTACGCTAAATGCCTTGCACACTTCCCAAACTTGCCAGCTATGGTTTTCAACTGATGTGTGTTTCGTGGGTACGGCTCTACTATTAACCATTATAACGTTTCTTTGTGTTCTTTATTACCTCAGTATCCTCATCACGGGCATGACTTTTGTTTGTGAACTCTCAGGAGCTAGTTGTACATATTCCGCGGCTAATCTGCACTGGATTCAGTGATTGTCAGATATTCATGACTTTTATATGAGAAGTTTATGTTGGTACAAAATTTGTTTCTCTGAAAGCTCAGCTTGTGCGAAAGTGATTTATGTGACGTAGTGTGAGAATGCACACATCGCCGCGGTGGTATGCCCCCTTATTCGAGCGATCAGCGATCCGTCGCGCGTTTTCGTCGCTAGTTTCCACCCAGTCGCCACGATCATCCATCGCGGCGATGGAACGCTGACCGGTATGCCCCGCCCTTTAAAGGTTGCTCCCCCGGTCCAAAACCGGGTTCGTCTCAATAAATATTCCAACGATCCACTATCAACAGCGAGACATTGGTTCTCACCAAAGCATGAAAATCTTCAAATGCTGCTGCAAGTCTGCAGAAGCTAACAATTTCAGAGACATAAGGACTTAAACCGTGAGAGACCCTTGTAGGTAAGACCGCAAACATGCTAAAACAAAACCTCCAAAATGTTTCCTCTACATACAGGGCACGCAGTTTTGAGAAGAAATTGTTTTCTCTTACAGTTAACTAAAATAATATCAGTTTTGAATGGATAGTGCCCCTAGAGATGTAGAAGCCCGACCTTACAGCAATCCATCGAAACCACTGCCGCGCCTCAATGGCGAGTGCTGCTGCTATTGCGGTCAGTGCGGCAGCGGGAACAACCCTTAGCGTGCACCGACGAAAAAAATGCGTTGTTCAATGTTTGCGTGCATGCCGTGTCCACATTCTCAACTATGCAATTCGAAAAAGTGTTACAAACTCTTTCTGGGTTTACAAGTTTACTTCATATCATTGGCATAGCATGTGCAATGACAGAAAGATCACTTTCTAGTCTCCTTCAAATTATAGAACCATTACCAAATGAGCCCTTAATTCAATGACTCATTTCCTAAGACTTAAGGCCGGTGCTGATAGGATAATTTATGCTTCCAACAATCAAGACGTAAAAAGCGATATAGCCAAACGCAATCACTTATTTCGGTGTACAGGTGAACAGTTCACAACAGCACAGTAAATTTTCTAAAGCCACTTCAGGCTGCATTCATACTGACTCCCATGTCTCGGAACAGTTATCGCACAGCTCCCGCACTGTGCTGAAACTGTTCCGGAACTGTGCTGCATGCGCTGCAGCCGCCCGCACGCGTTTTGAACGGCGGGAATTGGAGAAGTTTGACTGTTTTTAACAGTTTTTCTTCCAGATTCCTCTCATTCTGGCCTTATATCTCTACCCCGCTTCCCTTTTTAATCAGCAGATTCCTCTCATTCTGGCCTTATACCTCTACCCCTCTTCCCTTTTTAATCAGCAGATTCCTCTCATTCTGGCCTTATATCTCTACCCCGCTTTCCTTTTTGATCAGCAGAAGTTCGAACTCAAATTGGAGTTGAAGAATGAGCGCTTTTCTGCTATGCGATTGCGACAAAATGTGTGTTTTTGTGCTCGTTCATTCTCTCTTCGCTATTTTTGTTCAAACTTACTTCATGTGTTCAAGAAAGGCGCTGCGTAGTCTCGCATCTGTATTGAAAGGGACATAGACAGGTCTTTAGAACACACGAAGTAGACCTGAACAGAAATAAAGGAGTAAATGGACGAACGCATGAAGACCCTTTTGCTCGGATACATGGAAAAGAACAAAGTTATTTCTTCAATCCCGCTTCAGTTTCGCAGCTTTTCTCATCACGAGGAGAGGCGGGGAAGAACAAAGAATGGGAAAGGAACGGGCAACGATATGGAAAAAGGAAAGTGGCTGAGGATGCCCAAAAACGAAACTCATCAGAAAACAAGAGAAAAGTCCCTATTTATGCAATCTCAGAATTGCTCGCACTCCCTAAATCATGGCAGATGGCTGTGAAAACTACGCAGCTCCTTTCTGGAAGACATGAAGTAAGTCTGAACAAAAATAGCGTGGGCGCCGGGTCTGAGTAAGTCTCGAAATCTTTTTAGATGATAAGTATGTCGCTGACCTAATGGATGTGTTCAAAGCAGGTACGTGAAATCTGCTAACAAACATAGTAGCAGAATTCGCATAATAGCCAATCGAAGTAATAACTCAATACGCGTATTGCACGTTATGCGCGCTTTTTGACAAACTTCAGTACGACTAAGAACTTCTCATTTCCAGTGATTTCTCCTTGTTCTCTTTTCTGTCTTTATATGAGTGTATTTGCTAGTAGCACATTTCTACAGTTTGTCACGCTAGAAAAGGTTTGACTGGAGAATTTCTAGAAAGAGTGCCATCGGTTGCCGCGCATAGTTGCCGGCTCACATATTAAGATACAAGTGGCTTAAAGATATGTGAAGTCGACTGCACGAAATCGCCCAGATCGTTGTAGGCTGAACGCATGTGAGCGTGCCCGCAACGCGTTTCCCATTGCGAGCGCCATGATGACTCATGCGCGCGAATGCCAATGTTAGCCGCAAGAAACACGCACGCTAGCGTTCAGCTGGCGATCCCGTGCAGTCGACTATAGGCCTTCGAAAAATTGTGAACCCGGCAACCGCATTTCCTTGTTTTTTATCTCTCGGTTTTTCTGCTTACATATGATAGTTTGGACATTAAAAGTGAATGAGCAGAAAAGTTGAGGTAAAGCTTTTTTGAATGAGTATTTTCTGCTCCTGTGGGCTCAAAGACCGCAGGCAAATCCAATTGTCATAATTTCATCAATGACCTATATTATCTATATGAATGATCTCGAGGCTGGTGTGCATGAATTTTGAAAGACTAGTGTTAGTGTATGGACTTACGTTGAGTCAGTGGTACATCCGACACCATACTGGTCTGGGCAATCAAACCAGATGCAGCCCATGGTCGTTGCCTTCTCAGACATAAACTGAAGTACTTCAGTGTTTCATAATGTTTCGCTGTTGTTTGTTGAAAGTACCTTCGCATAACCCTGAATTCTCGAATCATTGTACTCAACGCTAAATGGAGTGACAATGAGAGGGTATTCATCGATATCATCAATGTACTGGTGGAAGGCATCAGCAGCCCCGTCGTCGTTGTCAGTGTTTGAGCAGTTTTCGGGAATTTCACTTTGATAGTCGTTTTCCAAGTCGCAATTATAAGTCTAAATAAGAAGTGTTCCGAAGAAGCATTCAAAGTTTAGCTGTCCAGGATTTCCATATACATAAGCCAACCTAGTTCTTACCAAGCTTTTTCAAGCGTTTGTTTGTTCGAAAAAGATAGCTGTTTACTTCAAAGCATATTTCTTACTCCACGCTCAACAAAATTATAACATTTCAATCTGAGGCGACTTTTTTAATTTGCCACCTTGGACACCAGACGTTAAAGTGCAGGGTAACCTTTGTTTTTTTCAACCGACAGATCATGTGGTCAAAATGCTGCAAGAAGTAACTATAAGAGCATTGTTCGAAAGTTTTTTCAAAACTACACGGCTCTTATGCATTATTTCCTTTTTGCGAGACAAGTACTCGTTTACAGAAAAGCACATGGAAAATCATGGTCTATCGAGAAGGCTCTCAATTACATTTCCTAGCACCAAGCTAAGTTCACGCCAACAGCGACCAGAATCCCAAAGCCTTTCGTTTCAAAAATTTTCCATCTGGTGAGATGATAGAGACGAATCTTTAGTTCCGACAAAGTAGATGCAATTTCACAAAAGTGACTTTGACCGTTTAGTGCTGCTCGTTCTAATTTGAAACTCGATACGACAAAACAAGTTCCGTTTGAAGCCGTATTTCTTCTGTTCTTTTTTCTCGAAAGTAAATAAACAGTTTTTCACTTTTGAAAGGGTAACACCTTGTTGTATTGCTTGAAAACTTTGCTGCATGTTGCTTTCATACAATGGTTTCAGTGTGCTACCAGAACCCCGTCCATCAGTTCTTCAAAAATGAGTGTGCCACTGCATAAACTGCTGCATCCAAAAGGAGAAGTCGCCACTTTAGAAAAAATTCCCGCAAAAAATATGCGCCTGACCTCACGCTTGACCTAATGTTCTGGGCAAAGTTGTTGGATTTTGTGATTTCTGTAAAGGTGAGCCGCACTCTCCTGTAAAACCGAATGTCATTCCTCCTTGTTCGTAACAGTTGGCTTTCCTAATCCAGCCCGCATTGTTTTTCCGGGAATGAGGTAGGTGTTTGGTCGCTAGCATAATTACTGCAGACGCTCTCCCCGCTTCCCCTTTCATGTTATAATGACTTATCTGGACACCTCCACTTTGATTCGCTACATCGTCGTGCTTGAGACTGAAACCAAATTTACCGCACTCCTTTTACATGACTATGGAAAAGGCTTGGTAGAGACATGGTAAGCATTTACTTCATCAAAAATATGTAATAAAATCAATAAATTGTTGGAAGACGACAGCGAACCGCTGCAAAATGTAGCTAATTTGCAATGGGGTCGAAAACATGCGTAACCAAAGTTCTGGCTCAATCGGTTGAGTGGTGCTGTTTTTATGGCGCACATATTTCTCCAACTGATAATTTTTGCGTCTTATATAAAGAGAGATATTTTTTGATTCAACTTCGAGCCCTAATCAAGGCTACAGAATGATCAGAGAACGCACTATGTCTGAAGGCCGCCCAGCACTTTTTCAGCGGAGGTTGTGAAAAGAAAGCGAAAATAAAGAACTGGCCAAAAAACGATCTGATGGGCTGCGAAATCAGCTGGACGACTGGAAAAGCGCCAGGTGTGAACGCCGTACCGTCATGCATGGGCGATGTAAAACGTGCGCAGCAAACCGATGCGGCGCGAAAATCACCAAAGCGAATTGATACTGATGGTACATAACTCATGACTTAATCTAGGATGTACGATGTGAGGAAACCGTTGTACACGATGTGAAAAAATCGCTTACAAAGGACTTTGAGAAAGCATATGAAATCGCAATGAAAGGCAACAGATTGACTTTATATGTTAGCTAGTGACTGTTTGTCCTCGCAGTGTATGACGATGTAACAAAACCTTAATAAACTTATATTTCTGTACGAATCTTAATTTGGAACAGTCAACTTCCTCATAAATCTACTTCTCTCAGCCTTATCGCCTCACTGTCGCTTCCCGCTGAGAACCGTAGAAGCGAGCGGCTACAATCATGGCCCCGAGCTGGACGCTAAGGCTGCGTTCATACTGATCCCAAAGTTTGGGAACACTTCCAGCACAGCGCTCAAAGTGAGCGTTGTGCTGGGAGTGTTCTTGGATTACGTAATCAGTATGAATGCAGCCTAAAGCCGGCAGCGGGCGACTGCTATAAGGTTTTCAGCGGGAAGCGAAAGTGGCGGCGATGGGCACTTCGCTTTTGGTGGGTTTTGGCGAAATCTTGGAATCCTTGTATCAATCGACGTACCACGAAATCTTGAAATCTACAAAATCGACGTAGATTGTCTTTTTTCAGCTCTCGAGTAAATTTAGATATAAAAATTCATATCTAGCTTCAGCATCAGCTGATTTTATGCAATCACTTTGTGCTTCATTTTTCTGAAAGAAAGAGGAAAGCAAGAAAAAAGAGACGGCTTATTTCGAGTTCCTGTTTCGTAAGCTCTAATGGTTTATAGGTTGTCAAGTGACAAAACTCTGGCTTTTAAAAAATAAGGTGGAAATATTAGGGTGAACGGTAAAAAATGGGACAGCTTGATTTTAGTTACATTTTGGAGTTTTTTGTTTCGAGCAACAGCAAGTAGGCTGCAACTTAAATGTCGCTTACATGGGCGACCTTCACCTATTATTCTGACAACGCGTTAACGCTCCTCTTCCACTACCCTACGCGTGGCGCCTTGAAGAACTCAGACAGGGTTTTTTGAACAATTCTCAATCTTGCGCTGCTATACCGTAAAATTGTATAGCAAATTACATACCATTCGAAAGAGCTCTTCATGCTCTTTCAAATGATATGTTAAATGCATGAGTTTTCTTCTCAATTTCAGAAAAAAAAGCGAAAAACCCTGAAAAACAGCTATTTTTGGCGCAATAAAAAAACCAAAAAATCATGTTTTGCCCTACATTTTTCGAAGATAGATGAAATCTGAGGTAAGCTGCATATGGATGGATAGAGCGTAAAAAGCTCTATCAGATGATACCTAGAAAACATGCGTTCACCTGCAAAGAATTGAATAACGCGTATCTTCGTTCTCAAAGCTGTTAATGGCCATATCTCCTGACTTTGAAAGTTGATGTCACCAAGTCGTCGTGGGTTTGGTGACTGTCCCACCACCCATTGCAGCAGTGGTACTTTGGGTGGTCTCACATGTTTGACTGCGCAGAAACTGCTCGAAGTTCTTGATTTGTCGAAGTGACTAACTTTGCACTTCAGCAAGTATAAAAGTTACTAGGTGTGTAAATGACCTTATACAGGTACTTTCTGAAAGAGAATAATTTATTCTAATATCCACCAAAGTTGGAAAGTTCAACCACATTTCTTCCTTGAGAAATCTGCAATTATTCTCAAGGTGTCCCATTTTTTACCGTTCACCCTTATATTTACTATTAGCTTGCTCCACCCTGCTCTTAGCTTATGGATCGCCGGAGCAAGATTTTTGGACTGGGAAAGCTTTATTCACCAACACTTTGAATAACACTCGACAGCTAAGAGCACGAGGAATCGACTGGACTATCTCTTTTTTCTTAGCTTTTCTGTGAAGCGAGATACGAGTAGTTTTATCTAGCTACAATATTAGCCAGTTCTGGGTGATTATCTCATGCCTTTTTTCTGAAATCAAGGTCTTTTTCGAAGTTATAGATATGATACGAAAGCTCGGGAAACGTATAATCTAACTGCTTTTTTATTTTTTATTACTCTCTCTAAAGAAAAGAGATATGGTACGATTCTTGTCAGTAAACATGCATCCATCACTAGCCAATCCAGATTTTTACTCTTGCTCAGCTCTTTCTTGCGACAATGTGTATTCATTGATACAATGTTAATTATTTGAAAAAACAGGCATCCTTTTGATTTTTGATTATGTTTCGTTATCAACGCCTCTTCGAGTGCGCAGGAGGTCTCAAGCATGCGTTTTTTTTTAACAAAAGTTGTTGCTTCGATGCTTTGCAGTTTTGATGTCTGAGGAGAAGAGCCGCTGGCGTTTTCTTTCCTAACAAAAAGTGCCTCGCAACAGCTGTTTAATTCTGCCGTTATGCCTTGATTCTAGTCTCACCCTCGGTGAAAGGGGTCAGCCAGATGCCGGCCCTAAAGTGAAGAGAGTCAGAAAAACTTCTCCACCTATCGCATCCACGATTTGAATGTGGACTCACTAGATTTTTCAAACCATAAAATGCTGGCGGCAGGCAGTCTCCACCCGCATTTCTTTGTTGTCCGTTAGCCAATTTCTGCCTCGCGGTATTCACGTGATCAAGTATTGCTAAGACCGCCTCTTTCTCCATTTCTCCATTGTCACAGTACATCTCTCCTGAATGTAGTATTAATTCACCCTACGGAGTACAGCACTCTAACCACGGACCAAGCGATGGCGCTGGTAACACAGCAATCACCTAAACAGATGTGTCAATCCAAACAGTGAAAAAAACATAGGCATTACCAACGTTAGGGTGCGGACAATTCCAGCCATATCCTGTAGTCATGCCCCGCATGCACGGCGCTTATATTGTGTAAGGTATGTGAATGAATGGGGCGTGCCTGCCACGTTTCTAATATGCGGTTCATTTCCCAATCATCTTCGTGCCTATTTACCATCAATTTGCTCATTCGCCCACATGAGTATCACTTCCTGGAAAAAACTCTTGTTCGTACGGTGCTGCTTTTATTGTGGAAAATCGAGTTCAGTAAGACTACCGTTTATAAGACTACCATTTTTTTCCACAACTCACCAGATGTCAGATGATTATTATGTTACACTGCTTAAATTCTGTTGAAAGCTGATGCCACTGCATCAATTTTTGATTACTGTTAGCGCTGCAAAAAAAAAATTTGTTAAAATTATGAGCACATGCGAACAATAGTGAGCCATTGATTGAATCTGAATGTAAAAATGTCAACTACATTCACGGTGCGCCAAAATTACCGGCGCGTGTTTGCTTGGGTGTCAAAAAGATACAAGGCGGGCTTGATGACGGTTCAAGGATGCATCTGTTTTATCCATCATCATCGTAATGCTACAGTCAAATCAGAATTTGGCCCTTAGTCTTTCGAAAAAATCTCAAATCCTCTCGGCAGCCGAAGTGTGCTCTGTACGCAAGCACAACTTGGGGAAGTGACACGACATTCTTTTAGGAACCTTTCATCTTCGTTTGAAATTGGGCAAAAAAGTAGGGCAAGCCTTCGCTAATAACACTGTTAAGTAATAATTGGAAAATTAATCCGGAGGTGGATTTTTAATTTTTCAAAACATGCTTGAGGGCAGCATATCGAAAATTAGTGGTATTTTTGCCCCTCTGAGTGCGCCTGGAAATCACAAAATATTTTCTGAAAATTTTCAAAACCAATTTCGAGGACCGCTTGTGATAAATGCTTTTCTACACGTCGCATAAAAAAGAAATGTTTTCTATCTGGAATTTTTTGCGCGTCTGGAGTCTTACAATGGAATTTAGGCTGCGTTCATGCTGATTACGAAATCCGGGAACAGTTCCAACACAGTGCTCGAACTGAGCGTTGTGCTGGGACTGTTCCCGGATTTCGTGATCAGTATGAACGCAGCCTTAAATCTAAGGTCGTTGTTCGTACGCAGATATATTTCGCAATTACGGCTGCGTTCATACTGATCCCGAAGTTCGGGAACAGTTCCAGCACAGCGCTCAAAGTGAGCGTTGTGCTGGGACTATTCCCCGATTACGTAATCAGTATGAACGCAACCTACGTTTTCGTATTTTTGTATTTCGCAAAAGAACAAAACTCAGACGTAACGGGGACTGCGTAACACTAGAAAGCGTGCTCTACAATCTCAGCTACTAAGATACAGAAAGACTTTGAGTTTATTCAGATGCAGAGCAAACCAGGAAATCAGAGAAATACCATTTTTGTTTTTTTTTCAAAACTGCTAGTCTGATTCTTTTGATCCTCACATTCTTCTAACGAGGTCCCTTTGACATCTGTAAATTGTCTCTTGTAGAGTTTGATCAGGACATTATATGGCACAAACTTGTGCTTATAAGTCTCAATGATTTTTCCGTGGCAGTGCTGAAAAGTTGGCGCCCGTAATTTTTGGCGTACACTGTATGTCCCATGATAGCTGTACAGCTCCTGTATATGCAAATTGGTCGTGAGGAGGGGTTGAGAGATTTGTAAAAATTGCTTGTGAACAATTTTTCAAGAACGGAGTTTAGCAACGTCAATTGAAGTCTTGCACTAATGGCGCTCTCCATTATTTTCTGTGATCTAACTTTGGTCAAAAAACACTCTGTTTTATGTTGATTATGTTATGCCAATACGAGGTTTGGTGAAGCCTTTTATTGATGCGGCCTTACGTTTCGACTTATCGTCGTCTTCAGAGGCCTAGAGTGGTGCGAGATTTAGATCTTATGCTTATCCCACCAAATGCCTTATCATCCTCTGGCTAGTTGCGTTCCCCCCTCCGACTTCACAAGAAAATTCGCATAAAGAGGAAGACGAACCAACCTCAGCGCCGCTTCACCAATGGTGCACTGGTGGTGCTGTGCAACCCGTTTTGACGTGTCAGTAGTGCCAATGAGCTACACTAGGCAGCTTGATATTGATAATCATAATGTTGAAAATACTCAAAAAATGATAGGGATGCACTATTAGTGGTTTTCATAGTGACTAAATTGAACTATCTGCACGCTTTTGTCTATGAATACAAACCCGACTTACTTTTTATTACTGAAACTTGGCTTAATGTAAAAATACTTGATTCTGAGGTTGTGGGTGGTATGCCTCATGTGCTATACAGAAGTGACAGAAATAATCGAAAAGGTGGTGGTGTTTGTTGCCTGGTAAAAGGTAACATAGCATCTAGATGCACAAATATTGAAATGTCTTTGCTAGCAGATGTGTTGATTGTCACTATTATCCATCCACAATCTTTGCGCCTACGATTCATCGCGATATACCGCCCACCCAGCTTCAGCAAAGATAATGATGATCAACTGATGAATATGATTAGTTCTTATACATATTCTTCTGATCATGATAACACGATTATTCTAGGTGACTTCAATCTGCAAATCGACTGGGTCACTATGAAGGCCACTAATAGTGCATCCCTATCATTTTTTGAGTATTTTCAACATAATGATTTCAAACAATTTGTCTCGCATCCTACGCATGGTGACCATATCCTTGATCTAGTCCTCTCCTCTGACGCACGAATTTCTAATCTTGATATTCTCCCACCGCTTGGCTCCTCTGATCATGGGATGGTTCAGTTTGAGTGTGAGGGCCCTGCGACCATGGGTTTGCCATCCATACCCCTTCCTGACTTTCATAGTGTTGACTACTCTGCACTAAATGATTTTCTTTCTAGAGTTGACTGGCTTGCAGAATTTGACCAATATGAGTCGTGCTCAGAAGTTTACCTTAGATTTTGTAAGATAATTTATTCTGGCCTTAGCATGTTTGTTACTATGAAATATCCCAGCGACACACTTATAAAACTCCCTCCTCACATTGACGCACTCAACATGCAAAAATGCCGGCTTTTCGACAAATTGCATGATCCACTACATAGTCCCATGTATAAAAGAGTGTGCCATGACATTGATTTCCATATGCAAAAGTTTTTAGCTAATCGAGAGCGTCGCCTTGCTTCTAAAGCATGCGCTCGAAATTTGTATAGATATATAAATTCCAGAATGAAAGCTAGTGCCAGTCTCCCTACTCTTGAAGATCATTCTGGGTCTAGTTATTATGATGATGCGGATAAAGCGAGAGTCCTAGGTGCTTATTTTGCCAGTGTTTACAATAACGATGATGATTATGAATCTTCTGCACGCAGTAACTCTGTAACACCAGACAATCATTCTATAAGAGTGTACTTTGAACCGTCCGAAGTTTTCAAGTTTCTCAAAAAATCAAAACCATCTGCCACAGAAACTTATGATGGCATTCCTCAAATTGTCTACAAAAGGTGCGCATCCGCTTTATCTGCCCCCTTAGCCCACATTTTCAATATTTCTATGATGTTGGGTGAGGTGCCAAATTATGGAAGCATGCCCTTGTCACTGCCATCCCAAAGATACAAGGAGCCAAGTTAATCAGTGATTTTCGACCCATCAGTCTTTTACCAGCACCAGCTAAGGTTATGGAAAGAATCATACGAGGTAGGTTGCTGGCAAGGCTGAATAAATTACATCTAATCCCAGCTGAGCAGCATGGCTTCATCAATGGTGCTTCTACCACAACAAATCTTGCTGATAGTACCTATGACTGGATTTTAGCTCTAAACCATAAGAAATCCGTGGATGTACTGTATATCGATTTATCCAAAGCGTTTGACAAGGTCTGTCACTCTAAGCTTCTTGAAAAGCTAAAGGAAATCGGTATTGATGGTCCTCTTTTCAACTGGTTTAGCTCCTATCTACAAAACCGTTTTATGACTGTCAAAGTACGTAATAAATTTTCGGATGCATATCCTTGTGTAAGCGGCGTTCCCCAAGGAGCAGTTCTCTCCCCTCTGCTTTTTCTCATATATACGCGTGATATACCAACAATACTCCGAACGTCCCCAAACATACGGATACAATTATATGCAGATGACATAAAGATATATGGTGCTTACAGTTATGATAATCGATTGGAGGTACAATCAGCATTGCAAGAATCGCTCACTAAACTGGTCACTTGGGCCAATCACTGGCGTCTAGCAGTTAATCTGAATAAAAGTTTTGTCTTACATATGGGTGACCAGTATGCAGGCACTTATATGGTAGATGATACAGCTTTGAGGATGTGTTGCTCAGCTAGGGATTTGGGAGTCATTATTGATTCGAAGCTCAAATTCTCTGAGCAGATTGATGCTGTTATTAGGAGGGCTTATACTTTCTTGTTTGTTCTTTTTCGGAGTGTAAAAACTAATTCACCTGTTCTTTTGACGCGTCTCTACAAATCTCTATTTCGTCCCCCCCTAGAATATTGTTCCCAGGTGTGGAACCCCAATCGAAAGAAGGACATCGAGAAACTTGAAAAAGTACAAAAAACTTTTACACGTCTTTTGTACAGAAGAGTCACTCCTAGTAATGCCCCTCCTGCTTATGAAGTACGACTAAAAAAGCTAAATCTACAAAGTCTCTCCTTTCGTCGTAATATCTCTGACCTTATTTTTTGTTTTCAAGTGCTTAGAGGAGAAACCAAGCTAAAAGCAAGTAAATACTGGATTTTTATGCCAACTAGTCAGAGATTGGGAGGCTTCAACCTTCATCATGTCAAGATTATGAGATACAATAAGGATAAAATGCATAACAATCTGTTTTGTAGGATCACACGTTGGTTTCAGCTCTTGCCCAAGGATTTGATTGCTTCACGCGATGCACGATCCTTTAAGGCTAAGTTGATGAAATTGACCGAAGGTGATAAATTACATTTACGTTTTTAAAAACGTATTATTTCAGCTTAAACTTCATCTTATTTGGTCAACTCTCTCATCAGTCTTCACTATATTGCGTTTGGAGTT